AAAAAAAAAAAAAGAATTTGATGGCAAACAAGTAAAACAGTTGAGGACATTCAAGCATCATTACAAAATTACTAAGGGAGATGTGAGAACAGTGTTATCACAGTGTAAAAGCCAAGAAAAATACAAAGTTAGACCAAAATATGATTTTAAAAAGTTAAAAGCCAAAGCTCCATTCCGCTGTAAAGCATAGTCCATGCATAAATGGAAGAACTGAATTCTGCACATCAAAACTGCAAAAACTGGGAAGTTAGCTTTGGGAATACTTACTTGCCCCAGCACATAGCTTTGGGTGGGGTGGGTAAGAGCGCGAGAGACCACCGTGTGTTACGCTGTCCTAACCGCATGCGTGCTGGCTAAGGACAGCGTTTTCAACTTTAGCGGAGCACCTCCTTGGAGTTCAGAGACCGCGCGGCGTGGGCACATGCACCAGCCTCGCCACGCTAGACCCAGGGCCATAAACGCTCACAGGTTCAGCAGCACGTGTGCTGTCCAGCGGGGCTGCTGCCCTCAGCCCCTTCTGCTCCCGCTCTGTGCACCTCCCGCCAAGGGCAGTCTGGCCAACCCATTTGCAGAGGGAAGAACCCTAGCCCACTTGGAAGGTCAGAGGCGGGCAGTGTCCCTTCTCCATTAGCGCTTCTAGCTATGATCTCTAGAAGGGCTGAGAGACAGTTTATAAGGAAACTTTATTTTTTTCTTTTCTCAACCACTATAAATTTTAATGATTTTCAAATACAGTCATAATTTATTTATTACTATCATTCAGTGATATTTTAAAATACCTTAAGTATTTTAATACAGCTTAAACTTATGTATCTTGTTTGGAGATATTCCAATACAGTCTACAAATTACCCCTGCTATATATTATATAATCTGAAATAAAATAATAAAGCCCCGATTTTAGGTTATTTTAAGATATAACTCCCAAATTATGATTAATTTCCCTAAATTCAGTCAATTTTGAATTCTCCTAAATAGTCAAAGAACTGTTATTTCCCCAAACAAAGGAAGTGAAGGGTTAATTAGAATGAACTATTTGATCTATCTAGCTAGCATTTATGCAATCCTAACTAAAATTTCAACTAAAATTATTTTTACACTCTCTTATGGGACAAAGAAAAACTTTAAAAGCACTGGAATTGCACTTGGAAGGCTGCTACAAATCTTACACTCGTAGTTTTTTCTTTTTAAAGTTAAAGAAGCCCTTCAAGTGACGCAAACTCTCCCGTGCCCGGGTCTGAAGAACTTTGAGGAGTAGAAATAGGTGCCCCCATTCAAGGCTGCGCTAAGAACCGTTTCGGGCACCCTCCAGCTGCTGTGGCACAGCGCGGGCACCGGTCCCGGCCAGCGACCCCAGCTACACAGATCTGGCAGGCAGAGGACACGCTGCATTGCGCGCATGCGTACTCAGGCTTATCTTCCTGTGTTTTACGTTATTCTAAAATAGTGATTCACACAGAAAAACAATCAAAATGAATCACATATCAGAAATACAACTTGTTTCTGCGAGATGACCTCCAAAGAACTGACCTGTAGTTAACCCTTCTGTATCTTAAACTCTGCTCTTGGAGAGTCCAGCTGCACATCGCAAGCCGGCCTGGACTCCCGCTGTGGCCGCGACGGGCCTCCCCGCGTGGCCACTCTCTGCCTTCAGGCCTTCAGAGCTGGGTTCCAGGCGCTCACCGCCTGACCAAGCTGAAATTCTAGTTTTGACAGCTTATTTGTTAACAGCTGTAGATTTCCACAATACTTACCTGCATCAAAAATTGTTTCCTATTTCAAAGTCAAAGAGGCTTTGCTAAGGGCATATGCAACCAATCCCAATGCTTTTTCTCCTTATGCTAATCATAAAGTATTATTAGTAAACAAGGCAGAACTGTAACAGTTGCTTAAAATGTTTTCCGTAGAGCAAATAAGGTAGATTACAAAAGGGAACTTACCAGTTGATAACTTTTAACTTATGTGTATGAAACACTAATAAGAGTTTTGAATAATACGAAGTAATTAACAAGAAAAAAGTCAAGAGTGAACTTTAAAGGACAACAACATACTCAGAAGTTTTAAAAGACAGCTTCAATGATTGTGTGGTAATGTTGAAATGCTTACAGCAGTCGATTACCAAGGGTCTGTAAAATCACCTATGAGTAAAGAACAACGCCCATCTTGCAGTTATAAAAACCTAAGAGAGAAGGAGCAACAGACCGCAGGCGCGAAGTGCAGGGCCACCACAGTCTCACTGCAGCTCTCCACAAGAGGCAGTAAACTACTGGAGTCCAACGACCTGCTTACTCATGAATACTTGTAGAGGTAGACACAGAATATACTTATTCCAGTCAAAGATAAACAGTACGGATACAATTTGGTTCAACAAAATACCTTTCTGTTACTCAATTTGTTGAACCAAATTGTATCCGTACTGTTTGAAGTCTTCAATTAAAATAACAGAATTTACAGTAATGAAGAGCTCCTTAAAATGTTTATTTTGCTTCAGAAAATAAGTATTCTCTGGATGATCTCAGGATCAATTAGCGCAAGTAAAGAACATCAACCAAGCCCGATTCTAAGGAAAACTTCTAAAGTGCAAACCTGGGCACAGCACACAGCAGGAGAGCTGCTGGGCCCAGGGCGCGCTGCTGACCTCTAGGGGCAGCAGACGGGAGCCAGGGCCTGGGCGGGAGGCGCCAGAGAGCCGGTGCAGCGCCTCTGGCGGGCCACAGGTCCTCAACAGACTCTTGTGTAACCCAAATGCGGAAAGCTATAGTACTTATTTTCCTCTATTACCTGTCAAAAAGATGCCTTTTTAATTGCTATTTGATATTTTCAGTTGATTTTGAGTTAATTTATCAAATGGGCAATTTTTGAAAAATGTAACAAAAAGCTGCAGTGATACTTAGAAACATTCTTCAATATAAAATAATAAAAATAGAGACGTGAAGGAAAACTGCCAATCTATTTGCTTTTAAGAACCAACAGGAAGGGTTGGCCAGATAGGTCAGATGACTAAGCACACCAGCTTAGGCAGACACAGGGGCCGGGGATTCGAGCCCCAACCTGCTGTGCCAGCCCCACCCGTGGGGTACACTGAGACTAGGTGTGGTGGTGTGCATTGTAATCCTAGTGCTTGGCAGGCTGAAAACAGGAGGATCACTACAAGTCTGATCTGTAGCGAGGCCCTGTAGACCCTGTACTTAATATATATATGACTAAATAAAGTCCCATGTTAAAAAGAAAAAAAGAAGTAACCAACAGGAAAAGGCCAACACACTTCCACATGGGCACCCCAGGGCTCCTCGAGCCCCCAGCTTGCCCGGTCTCCCACACTGGGGGGTGAACCTTCTCAGGCTGTGCTCGCTAGTCATGCAGACCAAATGAACAGACAACCTGATGAAAATGGAATGGTAAAACAAATGGTGTCTTCTAATTCAGAAATTCTTTCCTTGGTTATTTAGTTTAAGGAGAAAAACGCCACACTGACTTAAAAAGCTTTTCTCAAAAAAAAAAAAAAATCTAATTAACTTAGAAGCCAGCACTCTTAGAGTTGGTAATATTTTACCAACTATAAATTACGTGGTAGGGAGAGGGTTCCCCCATGACTCTAAATTCATATCAAAATAAGAAACTAAGAAGTATGGATGGGGTTACAGTTGAGTTTTTTCATTTCTGCACACAGGGAAATTAGTCTTGTGAAGAGAAACTGAGAGGAGATTTGTGTGGAAGGGAGGGAAAGATGCAGAGACAAAGAGAGGTAACTAAAGTCATCATACAGGCTAAGACATTTAATCAATACTCTAGTTGTAGAGGGTTTCCTGGGCCTTTAAAAAACAACGTGTATAACACATTTCCAAAATATTCAATTGTAGCTAAGACTATGGAGTAGCCGTTGGTCACATATTCCAAATTGTGATGCGTTTTCTCTCTCGTTACTGTAAACGCCTTATAAACAGCTTCACACTGAAGGGCCCAAACAATCGCGCATGCGCGGGACTGGCCTACCGCGACTAAAGGCACAAAAGCAGAGCAACTCGGGCCTCGCGTTTGAATTCTCAGTCACTAACACCAAATCCCTCTATAAAGCCAGATGAAATTATAGAAATCAGAAGTGAGGTAAGAAAAGTTGTAAGGAAACAAGCGTGACTTAGTTTTCAAAGCTCACGGGAGGGCTGGCTCTAAGCTGTCTCAAAGAAATGCCGCGCTGCCCAGGCTCGCGCCCCAGGACGCAGAAGCGCGCAGCGGGCCGGGGGTGCAGGGCGGCCCCCCCAGTGGCGCTCACACACAGAGACAGCATCACCAAAGCCAGGCACGGCCCAGCGCGTCATCAAGCGCCTCCTCAAGCCATGCCCGTGTAGCTGTCCCAGATGAAAGCAATTGACGAACCCCAAGCGCCGGCCCCTCCATTCCACCCAGTGCAGGTTCTGGGCGTGGCTGCTCCCGCCCTGGCCCCGAGGCCGCTGTGGACACCCCAAAAGGCAGGCACCGCTAGAAGAGTGGGTGCCACACAGCCCTCGACCAGGTCTACGCGGCGAGAACGGGTCTGACAGCCTTCTAGGCCTTTTCCTGCCGGCGTGCAGGGTGGCTCCTCTTGTCTCACTGGACTCCCTGTGACCACGAAGTCACGCTCAGGGACCCATTATTTGTCGTGTCCTCAGCGCCTGGCCAGCAGCCTGCTGTACTAGAAATTTAATACCTGCTGAACACAGCCGCAGTCCCTCTGTAAGTTCCAGGAGTGAAAGCGCACAGGGGACAGGCTTCAAGGCTGCTGAAACAACTACTTGGTTACGAGCAAGCTCAGGAGAAACCTGGAGAAGTGCGTGGCTGGTGCGCGTCTGCAGAGGGCAGACACGGTGAGCCCCGCGGCATGCGGCATTCGCGGCGCTGCGGAGGGGCTGCCGAGAGGGGCTGCCGAGAGGGGCTGCCGAGAGGGGCTGCCGAGAGGGGCTGCCGAGAGGGGCTGCCGAGAGGGGCTGCCGAGAGCGGCTGCCGAGAGGGCCCTTGCCTGGCACGCGTTTCCGAGGACGTCTGCCTCTGCACGTTGGGTTCTACCAATTCCTTAAGCACACATAACCTAAAGCACACATCACTGCTGGTGGTGCCGTGTCATTTGGAAATAGACAATGATATTTTATGGGTAGGAAAAGGGAACGAAGTAAAATTATAAATCTTTAAAGACAATATTTTCATGTGAAACTAAAATATGAGGATGATATTGAAAATGTTAGAAAATTTCTGATTATTGATGTAGGAAAATCAAAAAAAGAAAATATGTATAAACAGAGAGTGGCCCAGTAAATTTTTTTCCTTTTCTAGCTACTAAAAATAGGTTCATTAAAGTTTAAAAGCCACAATGAATATGAAAAAACCAAGAAAAACTACAACTTACAACTCTAAAATATCATTAACATTCTTTTATTTTAGAAAATATTTATGGCGCACAGATGGCTAAAAGTTTATGCTGTTGACTTAAATGCTTAATCTCCATAGAATGTGCTTATTAACATAACCCTTTACCCAGGTCACTGTATGCACTTTTAGCTTGGTTGTGAAGCTCCGCTCACATGCACCGTGAGGCCCGTGCAGCCCTCAGCCTGTCTTTCTCTCCCCAGGTGGCGGCCTCTGCCCGCGGTCAGTGAAGGCTGAGGAACTTCAGCCCGGCTGCGGGCACGCCCACCTTGCCCTTCTCGATGTCGTACTGGTCACTGGAGCCACAGCCTCTGCACCAAGCTAAGCCCCACTGCCCTTCTTTCTTACTTTGGGACAGGCTCTCGAAGTTGCCAAGTTGCCCAGCCTAGGTGCAAACTTCTAACCCTCCTGCTGCAGCCTCTCGAAGTGCGAGGGTTCCAAGCTCTGCCCCACTCACTTAAGGCTGGGAGTCCTGGGCTCTACACCTGTGTCTGAGGTGCTGCAGACAGACTTACCTGCTGGTGCCAGACCACGTGTGCCTGGACTTCCAGACTGCCACCGAGCTGCAGCTATTGGTGGGAACTCTATGGGCTCATCTGTCCCCTTCCCAAGGCGGCCCTGCTAGCAGTGCGCCTGGCAGAGGCGCACCTTGCTACACCGTCTGCCCCATACCAGGGGGCACGTCTGATCCTCCTGTCTGCCTGCCCACAGTCCATCAGATCCTTCCCAGAAGGTGGAGCTACTGTGGCAACATGGCATGATCTACTGCTGTGGGCAGGATCCAGAGGAGGGAAGACTTCATAAAGAGCTCATTCGTGGGCTCTTGTGGAAGACACGAGCACTCACAGCAGCTATGTACTCTGTGCAGAGAACAAGGGGGATGGCTCTGAGCCTTCCAACAGACTATACCTACCACTGAGGTCCTGCTGATTGCAGTCCAGCTGGCTGGGCGACCCTCAGGCTGGACGTGGCATGCTTATTATGTGGCATGCTTTTCAAAGCTTTTAGTATTGCATCTGGCATTATTTGGGAGCTGGAACAACTGGCCACTTTGAAAGTCATGCCATATAATGACAAAAGCCACCTACCTGAGACCCCCTGCTCCATACTCTAACAAGGCAATCTTATTAATAGACCATCACAGAATGAAGCATTCTGGGTGCCAAATACCGCCAAGGCAGCACCAAGAGGCAACCTAAAAAGAAAAGAAGAGTTAGTTTGAAGTTCCACAAGTCAGGCCTATCTACGTAATTGCTATGAACCAAACTATTTATCATCTTTCATTCATAGTAATTCTACTTCACGGAAAAAATCTCCTACCTTAAATGGTTACAACATTCACAGTACACTGAAAAATGAAAAACACATCCGTATCTCTAGGGTCATGTGTTGCCCCTTGTATCAAAGCTGTCTAAATTACTCACACTTTCCTCACATTTACTGTTCCACGCTTAGTGCCACTCACAAGTTGGCTGCTTGTTTAATATTCTAAACATAATCACTATCTTTACTGGAATACAGCTTTCAGAAAAAACCTTTTGCGTTGCCTATCAATTCACTGCTCCGAGACATGGCTAAGGAGAAGTTCTGCTCCACCAGGGCTTTCCCAGTTCGGTTTCCACAGAAGGATGCAAACCTCTGAGTGTCCCAAATTGAAGGCAGTACAAAGACCAGGGTCAAGTTTTAGCTCCTGAATTCACCTCTACAATGTGACTAATACGTGCTACCAAGTGCATTCCCAAGACCAGGCTCATCTTCAACAACATACAAAGAAACAGCAGACGAATTCTGTAGTATTACATCCTCTAGTTATGCTGTGTCCCCTTGTTGGTACAGATTATGAAGTCTGACTTCCAGGCCCATAAATAAGACAAGAAAGGAATGCCAGAAATTCTATGCAGAAACCAGGGTTTCATGTCCCTAAAAGACATGTTACACAGTTAGCCTTCTATAAAGCTAACTATCTGATACTGATACAATGAGTATCGCCTGCAGCATTATTCTGAGTACGGCTGGCAGTAACGACCACGACCCTGTTCTCAGCGTGTACCAGACAGCAACGGCTGCAGAGCACATCTCTGGTTGAGGCCCTCAGTGGTGCTTTGACTCCTAGCACCACCATCCCCATAAAAAATAAATGAAAGAAGTACAACTGTTAAGTCAGACCTGCTGCAACCGTGCTGGTAGCGATCAGTGTGACAAGCCAACAGTTGAAAGCAACAAAATAGTATTATGTGGGGTAAACAAGTACCACACAAGGCAAAATGTAAAAGGACTAATAGGGATTTTGCATGTTTTTTCACCTTGAAAAATCTCCAATTAAAGAAGGCCAGATGTGGGACTGTCCTGCTTCAAGGTTGTATATTGTGAGATTTTTGGACTTATGTGCAAACATGAGAAGCATAGAATTCTTTATCCTATTTTTAAAATATAATCTAATTTTTAAATGTTCTTTATCATATTATGTAGGTACTTAAAGTTCAACATATCAATACTTGATGAAAAATACCTGTTCCTTATTA